AAGTTGAAAAGCATGGAGGTGAAAGCACTCGAAGACCGGGGCAATAAGGGTATGGAAAATGCAGCTGTGACTCTGCGTGCAACACGAAAAAAAACTAGTTTAAGTTCTATCACGGTAAATGGCACTGCGTTTTGATCAATATGACTGTTGCACCTGTAAATGCCTAAACCTTGAAACAATTAGCTGACACATCAAAAATCGTTATCGTTAGGTGGAACTGCTGCATGACATCATTGGAGTAGTAAGGATGATGCGGGAATGTTAAGAACTATAAATGCCTCCTCGTATCAGAAATGCAGGTAAGTCAGGCAAGCTTCGCATTTATAAGTGGCATATAGCCTACCTGAAACCAATGCCTATGCTTGAAAAATTACATAATTGGATGGACTTCAGCGTTGGAACAACACCCTACCCCCCCCCCCCCCACAAAAAAAATCCAACGAAGAACATGGCCGCCATCTCCTCTTCCACCGCTCACCTCCGATACCGCCCACTCGGAGATTTCCACCATAAGGACAGTATACGGCATGCTCGCCAGCGGTGATCAATTGGTGTCTCGTCGGGATTAAATCATTACTTAACGACGCTTGATCTTCAAGGTTTTTTCTTAATTTTTGGAACAACTCTGAGTACTATGGATTTCTGACTATTTCCAGGTTGCAAGCGAGGATCGTGGGCAGATGGCGCACATTCAAAAAAAAGTAAGGCGATGATGAGGTTGATCCCGACATGGAAGTATCAAGAAAAAAAAGCACGTTTCAACACGACGTTGTGTTTCACTTCATTCAGTTTTGCAGTAACAGCATAATCATGATGGGGTGATCTAGTATTGTTTAGGTTTCTTCAGTCTGATAGTTCTCACATAGAAGAGCCACTCCAATTGCGCCCTGCTCGTGCACAGTGCTTCGCTAGCGCCTCCGAGGTAGTTGACAGCTATAAAAGAGGTTAGGCTTACCATACTATATACTATAAGTTTAATACGAAGTCACAAACAGTCATGTATTCCCTCTGAAGGGATGGACTTGCAAAACGTTGCCAACTATCGATTTTTTGTATACCTAGACTAGCAAATATTCTAGAAGCAGCGGAACGGCTTTTGCTCCTTTGAAACCATGACACGGTTCAAATGCGTTTTACTTCACGGTCGAACAGCTATTGAATGTGTGCAAGCGTTGCGGTGCTTCAAACTAATTACTTTAAAACCAGGATAAATTTAAGCTTGTTCTATAGGATTAAATTCCCCTGATGAGCCACGTTCTCAAGAGTAGGACTTACATCGCCTTTCAGGGTAAGCTTTACCCTCAAGGGTAGATTTAACCCTTGAGTTAAGCCTCGAACAACATTTTGTTGCTCTTCTTCAAAGTTGTGAACGAACCCGCCCAAACTCCGCCGTATAGCGGTAAATCCGCACTATGGGACAATGGCGGTCGTCATTGTGTGAACACTGATTCAAGGGTATTGATGTACGGTTGTTCTGGTTTCATAATGGTATAGACAGCAAAATCACTATTGATTGACAGTGAACAATGATAATAACCACAGTCAACTACTGACACACATCAATACCCGCGAAGGCAAGAGAGCTTCTCATCTAATTTTATGCACAGTTGATATATTTTTTCCACTACTCATTGGAAAATTGGATTCGTGCTTGTGCCAAAGTTATGCCAGGCTGCTGCATAAATCTGTACTATGATACACGCCTACAGAAGTATTAGGTTGTAACAAAATTAATGCAGGTTTTGAATTTCAACCGCAGTAAGTCATACACTTTTCATTTCTAAACAGGTCGCCAAGCAACATTCGATAGAGCGAAGCAATCTCTACAAGGTGGCTATCTTGCCTTAGCAACAACTCTAATCCACCACGAGTTTCGAGCCAAAAACTAAAAAGATTCAACTGTCCGAAAAATTGAGAAAAACCGTAACTCAGCTCCTAAAAAACCTGCAAAAATTCTAACTTGCCCACGTAACACTATTCACATAAGACATCTATATGCGCCTTGGCCGTATTTTTCTCTCTGCTAGAAATCAAGTAAACGGAAATTTTCGTGCATTTGCCAAAGTGTTGCTGTGCCGTTCCCACAGTAAGTAGTTGTATGCTACAAATCCGTAGAAGTACAAACGTAAATTTTCAGCTCTCTACAAGCTTTAGTTCTCGAGAAATTTGAATTTTAGCTTGGACCATCTTACTTGGGAAAACTATATTCGATATAACTCCAGAACTAAAGCTTGTAGAGAGCTGAAAATATGCGTTAGTACTTCTATAGGTCTGTAATATACAACTACCTATGTGAAAAGGGAACAGCATCACTTTGGCAATCGCACGAAAATTTCCGTTTTCTTGATTTCTAACAGAGAAAAAGATAAGGCAAAGGCGTATATAGATGTCTTATGTGAATAGTGTTTACGTGAGCAAGTTAGAACTTTGGTAGGTTTTTTATGTACTGAGTTACGATTTTTCTCAATTTTTCAAACAGTTGAATCTTTTTAGTTTTTGGCTCTAAACTCGTGGTGGATCAGAGCTTTTGCTAAAGCAAGATTGCCACCTTGTAGAGATTGCTTTGCTCTATCGAATGGTGTTTTGCAACCTACTTAGAAATGACAATGTATGACTTATTGCGGTTGGAATTCAAAACCTGCATTAATTCTGTTACAAAACTGTTACAAAACTTAAAACTGTTACAAAACTTTCGGGACAACCTAATATTAGGTTGTCCCGAAAGTTTTGTCGGTTTTTTTTCATCGCTCACTAGAACTCACAGAACACCAATCCATAAATGGCTCAGGCACCATTTGATTAGATTTTTATTTTCTTTCTTACAATTATACTTGCTCTCTGATCTACCATGTCTTTGCAATGTTATCGCCATGGCTTTTCGAGCAGCTTTACGGTAACGCCAAATCTTTCCTGAATTTTAGAATTTTTTATTTTGATATTTTCAAAGAGCGCTTGTAAATGTTATGTAGAGCAAACCTTTGGCTATACTGTATCTATTTTAGATTACATGAACCGCGTTTACCAAGTCCGTTATAATTATTTAAATAAAAACCGTGGCTTTTTGATTAAGTTCAACACGTAAAAGTAACAAAAATTCCAAAAAGCTGCTTTTTCGAAGCGAATCAAAGCTGGATATGTTGCATAGGTGATGTATAGTAAGAATCATCTTTCAGTACGCAGAAACTTCAAAAGCTTTCATGTATCTCATGCTGTTGCGTGTTTCATGACATTGCCAAAAATGGAGACCTCCGGCGATATAGTTTTTGAAGCTAAAATCAGGAGATTAGGAGAATCTGAAGGCATTCCCTTGTAATCCGAGAGTTGCTCTATTTGACCCATAGTTAATCCTTTTCGATATTTTGTGATGAAATTTATAAAAATTGGCCTAACTTTGAGAAGGCAAAATTGACAGGTGGAGAATTTCAGCAATTATCAAAAAAAGCATACAAGATTGTGGTACGATAATCTATCCGTAAGAAAGAAAAGGAAGAGCTGCATCGAATGCATGTTAAAACTAACTCAAGCCTTTATTGCGCGTGGTTTTACAGTGGTTTGAAAAAACTGACAAAACTTTCGGGACAACCTAATATAATACAATCGTATATATTCAACCTTAGGCAATAACTGTTCTAGAGATATTGATCTAGCTTTTCTTTCTTTGTTTGCACAAGAGTCGATATTTCTCGACAATTAAGTTTTGTAAGAGGCTATTCATGATTCTACCTCTAAGCTTGTATCGTACAATTACTAGCATAAGAACGGCTCGGCATTGCTTTACGAAAACAGGAAAATTTTCATTTTTTAGAAGTGTGGACGAGGAAAAATATAGCGAATTTGCAATAAAGGTCTGGTGAGGGGAGTAGCGTGAGCAAGTTGGAGGTCGTAGTTTTTTTGATTTTTCTGGCTTTCGTGCTTTGACCAGGAGACTAAGAACGCCACTCTTTTCTTTCCAACATAAAATAAAAAACATTTAATCATTAAGTACGTTTTCTCTACAAGGTGTAAGCTACATAAGAGCTTTCCGGCCTTGCAATGTTAGATGCGTGGTTTTACAGTGGTTTGAAAAAACCGACAAAACTTTCGGGACAACCTAATATAATACAATCGTATATATTCAACCTTAGGCAAAAACTGTTCGAGAGATATTGGTCTAGCTTTTCTTTCTTTGTTTGCACAAGAGTCGATATTTCTCGACAATTAAGTTTTGTAAGAGGCTATTCATGAGCATGCAGCTATAAACTACAGTAACGGTTGCTGTATAACACAAAAAAGTACGCATAAGAATATGAAACATTCAAGAAGAAAAGGAGAATTGGAAGCGAATACTTAGAAGGGAATTGTGTTTGGTCGAAGTGGCCTTTCCAGATGAGACTCATACTGCTTTGAAGAGCATTAAGCGTTGATTCCAAATCTGCCTTCCAAGTCTGCCCAGCGCCTCTGGATGCCGAGTTATGACCGTTTTTGAAAGCGAAAAATGAATGCAAAATTTAGGTAAAATCAATTGTTACAATCTTTCCAGCGCTCAGATAAAGCAGCGTTAAGTATTAGCATAATAGACAAAATGTATCCATTGCATGGACGGCTCTGACACTTGACACTGGACCATTTGAGCAAATTTGGGCGATTTTGTTAGAGTTTTGCGTTCAATTTTTTTGCCTGAAAAACACCCACAACTCGGCGTCCAGAGGCGCTGAGCAGATTTGGAAGGCAGATTTGGAATCACCGCCTAATGCTCTTCAAAGCAATATGGGTCTCATCTGGAAAGGCCACTTCGACTATACACACTTTCCGAACTATGTGAAGGGCTTATCTAAGAGGTTGCTTATGTGTACTTTACTCCTTCGCATTGCATTTTGAAGGATGACTAACGTGATTTTTCAATAGAACCATGAAATTTTTCATAGCGAGTGATATTATGGCTGATTCAGTAAATAACACACGTCATTTTGCCTTACAATGTTTTTTTTTCGACCGAAATGTTTCTTTAATCAAGCTCTGACATGAAGACCGATCAGCATAAGGTATGTGAACAAAGAGTGTTCGTTGCGATGACTATAGCAGAATGATGAGAATATTTTTGGAAGTTCTTTTATGTTAAAAATTCCAGGTCGAAATTTCTTGAACGCGTTTCGAAAGCCTTTATAGATAATGGCAACTTGGAAACACCTCATCCTAGGAAGTCACTACTCGGAACGAGGTAGGTTGAGCATGTCACTCAACTAGCTCAAAAAGTTCTTTTGATCTGGTCTTGATAGTAACAAAAAGCGACATTGTACATTTACGCAGGGGATGCTCTTCACAAAACTTCTCCTCCTGCTGCTGTTCCTTCTTGAAGATAGTTCTGCGGCCAGTTTGCGGAAAGATGAGTACAGATAAGTGGTATTCTTAGATATAATCAGGTAATTGCTTTTTTCCACAGTGCGCAAAGCGATGTACGAAAATGCGATCTTAAGACAAGCAAGTTGAATGTTTACTCGCCTATTACAATGATGACGATCTAGCTCTGGTACAGCAAGTTTATTCTCAAAATGATACCATACTTCCCTCTTTCCAAAAAAGAATTTCAGTGCAAGAGCCTTTGCCGTGATCTCAGCGACCGTCGTTCAAGAAGTAGTCTCAGCCACTATTATTCAAGAGTGTTCTGTGAAGATCTCTGGCCCTGCGATGGCGAAAGGTTCCTAAAATCTGAATGAAGTGATGTTTGCACCATTTTATAACAAAAGAAAACTGGATATTGAAAATCAAGAAGAGTGGTTGTGTGCCACTGTTAAGTGTAAATACTGAGAAGGGCAATAAAATGTCATTGATCTGCAAATGTTTTACAAAATGTTTATATAAACTTCTGCGAACTAACCTTTGTTATCAGACATTAGAGACGAGCATGAAAAACCACCAAAACCAATGGTCAACTAAGCAAGTAAGTTCTCAAACTGCGAAAGATCTTCACATAAAATTTTTATAGAACTCTATGCCATGTCGACAAAAATAGGTTTTAGCTCATATTTCAAAATGCATATCTGACGTATTAGGTCGTTCCGAAAGTAATGTCGCTTTTTTCAAATGAACGCAACATTTCATGGAAGCAAGGTTTCTGAGAGATTTTGGAAGCATTCGAAGCAGCATTTCATCCTCTTTCTAATGGCTGTAAAATCATTGCAGAATACTCCATGAGCTTTTGAAAAATTGGAAAGGTCAAGTTTCGCAATTTTTCTAACTTTATGTAATAACTCCCGGAAGGAGCTAACAAGGGAACCGTGTCGAGTCGAAGTGGCCTTTCCAGATGAGACCCATACTGCTTTCAAGAGTATTAATCGGTGATTCCAAATCTGCCTTCCAAATCTGCCAAGCGCCTCTGGACGCCGAGTTATGACCGTTCTTCGGAACGAAAAATGAATGCAGAACTTAGGTAAAATTAATTGTTACAATCTTTCCAGGGCTCAGATAAAGCAATGTTAAGTATTAGTATATTGATTAAAATGTATCCATTGCATAAACAGCTCTGATACTTGATACTGGAGCATTTAAGCAAATTTGGGCGATTTTGCTTTAGTTTTGCGTTCGATTTTTCGACCTGAAAAACGAGCATAACTCGGCGTCCAGAGGCGCTTGGCAGATTTGGAAAGCAGACTTGGAATCACCGATTAATGCTCTTCAAAGCAGTATGGTTCTCATCTGGAAAGGCCACTTCGACTCGGCACCGTTCCCTTGTAAGTAATGGATGGATAGAGCAAACCCTATGGGAAACAATACCAATTTTTTCTGCTCTCCGTATCTTGTCATGATTTTTGTAGAGATTTTTCAATAAAATCACCGAGTTTTTGCAGGCTTGTCTCAAACACATATGCATCAAACACCAATAAATTTTCGGAATTTGAAACCTATAAGATGTATTAAGGTTTCACACTGATTTTACAGATCATTTGAGCGTTTACCGCTTCAGATTAGCAACTTTCGGAAATTTCGAGTACAGCCTGGGGCGGCCTGGAAAAACTGAATTATGATGCCTTTATCCCGGAAAACTTTGTGAATCGAAAACCGAAAACAACTGGTAGAAAGAGGAGAAAAAGCTGCATCGAATGACACCCGAGTGGCTTGCCGATTGTCGTTCTGTGAGGTTTGAGTTGACCAAATATGAAATTTGATAGCTTTGAAAATGGTTCTAGAAAGTCTAAGAAGCAAAATGAGGAAAAGAAAAAATTGTTTTACCCCCTATAGGGTTTGCTCTATTTATCTGTTACTTGTACATTTTCAGGGAGTCAGTACAAAAATATAGAAAAATAGCCGAAATTGACTATGACAAACAGCATGAGTCGCGGGTTTTGGTAATTTTCTTAGAGCTCATTGAATATAATGCAATGAAATTACAACCTTTAGAAAGTCGACGAAATGCTGCATCGAATGGTCCTAAGATCTTTTCAAAATGTTGATTCCTTGAAATGTAGCGTTCATTTGAAAAAAGCGACATTACTTTCGGAACGACCTAATATAATCTGAATACATAGAACCAGGATAAGCAAAAATTGTAAACAAGTTCACTCACATAGAATTTCAGATTTTGGTATCAAAAGATTAGTATCCGCATCAAATATCTTGATTTGCCTCATAGAATAAAAAGTAAAAATTCTTCAGTCAAAAAGATTCTAGAATCTGGATAATCTATGTTTCCCAAATATTAAGTCGTTCCGAAAGTTCTTTCCGTTTTTCTAACCTATCATAAAAACACGTGGAATGAAGGTAAGGAAACGCTTTAAGCACTATCCGACGCATCGTTTCTTCCTCATTCTAGCAGTCATATTCCCATATCGCTTACTCTTGTGATCACTGAGATAATCGCCGAAATTTTGAACACATGGTTTTTACCATGTCCAAATTTGGCAATTTTTCAAAATCTTCGTTTTTAACTTTCGGAGAAGCTTTGTTAGCAGTCAAATAGAGTAAACAAAGTGCAATTCAATATATTTTTTTGGCAAATCCAGCTGGCTTTCCAGTATTTTTTGAGCTAATTTTTCCAAAAGTCTTCACTTTTGCAAAGTCTCAAAATACAGAAACGCCCCGAACACTGTCAAGTATGCGGATTTTGAAGCTTTTCAAAGTCAGTTACGATTATCCACAATTTTTACAAGGCAACTGAGCGTTTACCGCTTGTAAATATGAGGTTTCGCATTTTACGTGTACAGGCTGGGGAGGGTTCAAAATCAAGAATTATGGAAACTTTATCGCCAGAGACCCCGTTGAAAAGAAAATACATTCATCAAAAAGAGAAGGAAAAGCTGCATCGAATGACACCTTAGTTGTGCGCCATCTTATGTTCAATGGCTCTTGGCGTCCCCAAAAGTGGAATTTGATAGCATCAAAAAAATAACTCTAAAACATTTTTAAAGCTAGCTATAAACGGCGAAAAATTGCATTAAACTGCGCTTTGTTTGCTCTATCTGACTGCTATCAAAGCTTCTCCAAAAGTCAAAAAAGAAGATTGTGAAAAATTGCCAAATTTGAACATGGTAAAAACCATGGGTGCGAAATTTCGGCCATTATCTCACTGACCACAAAAGCAAGCAGCACGGGAGTACGACAGTTGGAAAGAGGAAGAAAAGCTGCGTCGGAAAGTGCCTAAAGCGTTCCTCTACCTTCTTTCCACGTGTTTTTGTGACAGGTTGAAAAAACGGAAAGAACTTTCGGAACGACCTAATATAAACATTTCCCAAATATGAACATTTCCAAGTAGTGGTGGAAATGGAAAAGTTGGTGCGGAACTTCAATATCCGACTCGGCAACCGCCTTTTTTGTAAAAACTCAAATGGAAAAAGAATTTCCTAGAGTTCTACGCTGGCGCAGACGGACGCAAGACTTTCACGTTTCAGTAACAAAATCCTAACCTTGTTCTACAATGCATAGTTCCCACCAAAATTTGACCATTTCCGACATGCTAAACCAAATTAGGCATGGAGGAGAGAGCGTTGAATTCTTGCAATTTAGGGTAGGTTGGTGAGAACTGCATTAAACTAGATTCATGTGACATCACCGTCGCCTGGCAAAATATCTGTTCTTGTTAGATACACTGTCCGTCACCATTTTTACCTTAAGAGAAATTCCTCGCAAACTTGTGCTCTAAATACCTTACCTGGACTCATTCAGCTATTCGAAAGTCTTTGCCATGAACATGATGCATATACTATCCATAATACTTTTGAAGAAAAGGACGCACAGTCGCCCAATTTATGTGACATCACCGTCGCATGGCCATCTCAAGCTTCAAAGTGGACGAATTCTTAATTCAATGGTACCATTCAACTCAGCTCGGCGCGGCGCATCTTCTAATGTATAGAAGTGCCTGCTTGATGATATTCAGCGTGATATCCATTGCACTCACTGGGCAATCTACCGCAAGCAAAAATTTTGAAGGATTCGTGGAATCTGGCCTACTGCTGTGTCCAAGTGGAGAGCTCCATATATCAGAACGTGCGCCTCGCCGAGCTGTGTTGAATGGTACCCTTGGATTAAGAATTCGTTCACTTTGAAGCTAAATATCGCGACAGTAATGTCACATGAATCTGGCGACCGTGCGTCCTTTTCTCAAAAAACACGAGCGGTATTGTATTGTGGATGGTTTATGTATCACATCCATGGCACAAACTTTTGTGCCGAATGAGTCCAGGTAAGGTATGCAAAGCACAAAACTTTGCGAAGAAAATCACTCTCAAGGTTAAAACGACGGCGGACCGTGCATCTAACAGGCCATATATTTTACTTGACAGGGACCTAGACAAATTGTTTTGTGAATTAAATTTGTGCTGTTCTACGGAGCAATTGTTAGAGATGGAATGAAGAGTAGCTGAAACAGGAAACCATGGCAGACTCGGGCACTATCGTGAAAACCGCAGCTGGGACCAGATTGCAACTCAACATTATTTGCATCTGTCATATGTGTCACCACACCCGATGCGCAATTTGTCCCATGCTGGTTTCTGGATGTAAAAGCGCAAAAGATCGAACCGTTGTTTACGCTGCATCGTTACGAGGGGATTCGCACTGAAAAGGGGGAAAAAATAAAGAAAATGCCATAAATAGGCACGTGGAGTGGTGCCTGCTTCGAAAATCCGGGATGAAGACGGCAAAGGCTAGCAGTGTGTGCAATAACACACATAATAATGTGGAATGACTCGACTGTATTTACATGCAGCACCATTGCCGAAATTAGCTTTGAAAAATCACTGCAGATCTAGCATTTAGAAAATGAGATTTCATGGAAACAAGATTATGCCAATCGTTTTAGCTCATCTTGAATTCTCGTGTCAACAGAGTACCTGGGAGGCCAACTTTTTTGCATTCTTGATGTATATTAGCAGGCTTGATGCAAAAGTTCTTGCATTAAAAGCAATTTTCCAAAAAAACTAATCCATGTTTGTGTATACGAAAAGCAGAAGAGAGTTGCACTTCACGATAGTTATTCAACAGCAAATTTCTGTTGGTAAAGCTGGAGAAACAAGCTTTTGAAATAGAACCTAAATTTCGTCGTAGTGAGAATGATAGACAAATACAAAGTGCCGCCAGCCATCCCAAAAAAATTTGTAGAAAATATTTTTGGATAGCATTAGTTCCTACATCACTGTGGCAGACTCAAATCACGGTTAAATTTGCAAGAACGAGAAATTGATGGAGAATGTACTGCTGGAAAAATCTCCCCGTGTATTCT